AATTTAAACAGGGCCCGGAACTTCCTGGCAGGCAGCCCGAAACATCCGGAGTTCAGGGACAGGAGGTTCCGGGTAACTAGAAAATCATATAGAATGAATGTGGCAATCACATCGAAAAAATGAATAAAGTCAAGTAAAAAAATCAGATAGCAGTAGTCCTGGCTGGTCTCAATCGGGTTTAATTAGGTGGTGCACGGCCCATCTGATCAAGCGAACAAACTACTTGTCGTTATACTACTCCATGGTATATACCGTGCTGACATTCAGCTAGCTGCCCTGGCCCAGAAATTAGTGACTTGCTTGTCAGGGACTATTTCACACTAATTGCCAAGATATCGACCTAGCATGGCCATGCATGTGTCTCTGTCTGCATGTATCATGTATATATATTTTTTTGGTAAGCAAGGTTCAATGTCCTAAGAGGTTGTCAGATTGATCTTGTGAATATCCTCACCTCAGTTTCAGATGGGGACACATCCCCAAAGTATTGGTAACTTAACATATCTCAAGATAATTAAGCATGCATGTTTCCTTTATGTTATGGCGTTGATGTATCCATCTTTGATAGCTGCTGTAACTTTATTTCAAGTTACTCTTTTCAATAAATTGGCAGAGCTCCTAACCATTCTAATTAAAGATAATCGAGCATGTATGCATGCATGCAAAGCTGCTGGGACCCTCAGCCATCAGCGAAATCTCAATCTTTTGCAGCAAAATAAATATGTACTCCAAATGTTGGTTTCGTCGATGCTTGAGTCTTTCCTAATTTCTTCAGTATATATATGTAATGCAGCACAACAAAAGACATGATTATTTTGCTAGCCAAGCTGTATATATATTCCAAAGAGCATATATAATAAGCTAATTAAACATGACATAATATAAGCTAACTGAAAAAGCCTTATGCTCGTAGATTTGCATAATCATTTTGCATATGTAGACAGTATGGAAGGACATGCGTATTATATGCGTACACGTATGTATATACTATACAAAAATCGTCATTACCTTGGCGGTTTTTATGCTATCCTTAACGATTTTTGCCTCTAAGAAAATTACAGATTCTTGTAGTACCAACTCACAGCTGATGTATAGACGGCATATATATGTGCCAAAAACTTTAAGATGCATGTCCCAAAATACTCTGCTATATGTGCATTTCAAAACTGCAATACAAAACTACATGCATATATATTACGTATGTTTATACACCGCGCGTGTATTATATTTGGATACTAGAAGCTTTTATATATATATATATATATATATATATATATATATATATATATATATATATATATATATATATATATATATATATATATATGCTGGTGCGCCAGGATCGTCCAAATGCAGATACTGATTCAATTACACGTTTTTTTAATCTAGTTGATAATAGTATATACAGAGGCAATCCAAAGTACTGTCCTTTCTATCAGTTATATATATTAGACCCAGCTATTACATTGTGAATTAAATGATGGATAAATTATTATATCATCCAATTGCAGAGAAGCCATTGATATTTGCAACTTGCAGGAGCTTTATTTATAAAGCTTCTAGCGTATCAAACAGTCATTTTCATCCACGAAATGAAAGGACGCAACTACAAATCGGACATCATCCACAGAACAACTTTTATCATACTACTGTCCATTCCATCGTTTGACTCACTTAAGTGGCTTTACCTGAACCACCTAATACAATACAATGAACTCCCACACACAAGATACACCAACAATTAGGACTCGATCATGCAACAATACTAATTATATATTGTAAATATATTTCTACACAAAAACTATTGTAAATAAATAATTATGAGCACACACTCAGGTTCACCGCCTTTTGATAATGTTTTAGTAAGGCTCATGAATTTATCTTGGCTCTCTATCAGTCCATCTATTGAGCATGTGTTAGAAGGGGATGCACTCGTGGGTATATATATATATATGTGTGTGTATGTTGGGTGCTCCATGGTGCCCGAGCTTCATGATTCAAATTGAGTATATATTCAATTCAAATGAGTATGAAATTTTTTAAAATGTCTAGGTATTAACATTAACTAGTTCAAAACAAGTTTGAACTGAATTTAAACATGATTTTGTTAGATTTTGATTCTATGTATATAGCATCCAAACATATAATTAGTTAGGTATGTAATATTGGATTGTGAAATAAAGTTAAATTTGAGTTGTTTTGTTGCTTGGTATAGGTATTAATCGAATACTTATAACTAGGTATATACTCACAATTTGAAAATTTTGAGCGAATTTGTGAATTTCATACCATGGTGCCCGAGCACCATGGTGCCCCACATATATATATATATATATATATATATATATATATATAAGTATGGTGTGTGTTGTGTAGTAGTATGTGCCGTGTAATCGAAAAAAAGAATCAAATATCACAAGAACTCTATCTCTCCCCATAGTAGATACAATATCTCAAATCCTGCCGCAACAATTAATATTACAATCTAGCAAGTACTATGTTTGTAAATGTCCACAATAAGCCTGCAACACAAATGGTGACGATAAAAACTTGATGCAAAATGGGCAATATCTTGCTTCAACAAATCGAAAGAACAATTGCAATGAAATATCACAACATGATGAAAACAAACCACTACAACAATTTGACTTGATGCAATATTTCGACCAAGCATCTGCAAAATAACACCATAGGTGACATAGTAGCAAGAGAAAGTCCTATCGGTATCCTCAACCTTGTAGAGATGACAATGTTGTATGTCTGAGTGCACCCAATGATGAACTCATTGGTACGCAATAGAAAGATCTTGAATTCATCGTTGTTGTAACGATAATACTTTTTAACAATACTAAGTGTTAAGATTATACTAGGGCTTATCTTCATGTACTTAACGTGGCGGAGGACGGCGGCGACCTAAGCGTCGATGGCTAGTCCTCGACAGGGAGAAGGCGGATCCGGTGGAGGTGGTCCTGTAGGCGGCGGCGGCGGCCTGGGCATCAAGGCAGAAGACCTCCTCGACGGCGGCGGCTACAACCCTAGGGGCGGCGGTAGCCTGGGCACCGGTGCAAGGTTCTCAACGATGAGGAGGCGGATCCCATCAGGTGTGGAAGGCCTCGGAGTCCGGGTGGAAGAGGATTTCCTCAGTGGCAGCGGCGGCCCTAGGGGTAGCGGCGGGCTAGAAATCTGGGAGACGGAGAAGGATATAGTCGAAGGTGGCAGCCCTATGGCCTATGGGTGGCAGAGGCCTAGGAATCCGACGAAGCGGAAGCAGATCCTGTCAGCTTGCGTCTGGTCGGCTAGTTCTGATTGGATGATGACGAATGAAGGTGGGCTAACCGGCAACGCGTGGCGTCAGCTCACTTGAAGTAGATGAACATGGCACTAGCGGAGATTCGCAATGACGGCACACTAGGGGCAGCGATGACTAGACAACTTCCACTCGCCGAATCTGGGCATTTCAGGAGAGGATGTCGAGAAGCAGGGTTGTGCTGAGGTCGTAGGTTTTTCTTTTCTTTTTTTTTTGTTGTGTGTTCTCCTCTTTGTTGAGGTGTGAGTCTAAGTGCTCTTGTATATTTTTAGCTGTGTATATCCTTCATAGATATAAAGATCGGATTAATGAAAATTCATTATCTAAAAAAAATATATGGAAATGCTAAATTGATTGGTCATCTTTTCGAGTGAGTTCGGGGGTTTGTCCTACCACTGTAGATATGTCTTTTTTTTCTTACACTAATATTTATTGTATCGAATAGGTATGGCGCAAGATTTAAACTGTCTTTATTAAAAAAAGGAAAAAAGTATGAATTAGCCTTCTGAACTATCGCGGTCGATTGAATTACCCCTCCCCCCCAAACTCGAAAACTAGACATCCTTCGCCCCAACTATGTAAACCAGACAAATAACCCCCCCTCCCCCGATTTAATCCGTTGTGGTTTTGGTCCTACGTGGTATATGTGTGGCAGTCCAATCAACAATTTTTCGTCAAGGCAACACAGCTCAAGCGCGCCTCCGTAGCATGCCCCGCGTCAAGGCCGATGAGCTCCACCGCAAGTGGCACATCCTCATGGATAGGGACGACATGCCGCTGCCCGCTTGGGACTTGCGACCTCCGTCTGCACCCAAGCCCATGCTGTGCAAAGCTCTACAAGAAGGGCATCATCCAGCCCTCTCCCATCTGCACACACGTGCCGGCGGAGGCCGAGAAGGAGGGCACCGTGGCGAAGGCTGAGGAGTTCGGCTCGGTAGGGAAGGTTGTCTCATGAGGAGATGCAAGGGCATCCCTCGTCATCGTCGTCGTCCGCGGCGGCAGCTTCTCCGGTGGTGGGTGAGGAGGAGGAGGATGAGGAGAGGGGGGGTGGTGGGAGAGGGGGCAGCATCTTCGTCGGCCGCAGCGTGTGGTGGTGGTGGAGAGAGGTGGGAGGGGAGAGATCTTATAGTGAGCCGCACTGATTTTTTTTAAAAGAAATACTGACTGGACTATCACGTGTATACCACATAGGACCAAAACTACCGGGATTAAGCTAGGGGATTATTTATCCGGTTTATAAAATTGGGGGTGAAAGATGTCTGGTTTTTATGTTTAGGTTAGTTCGGTTGACTATGATAATTTAAGACGGTAATTCGTACTTTTTCTTTAAAAAATAGTAACATGAAGATGGAGACTATGCTGAACACATGCATGCATTGGGAATATGGTCATGGAGGCCGGCCCCTAGCTTGGAAACTTTTGAAAAGTGAATTATTTGCATCTGAGCGGAAGTATGGTGCCGGAGAGCAATGAGAACGAGCTAATAAAACTAGCTAGCCAGAGTAGCTAGTTGCCGGTCGATCAATCCAATGGTCATCATCCAAGAGATTCTCGTATATCGATCGATCGGTCGCTGGCCGTGCAGTGTCAACATATATAAGCGCAAATATATGTGCAAAATGCATGAATCCTCCTGACCAATCGATCAACATCAGCATAATATTTTTTAAAAAAAACATTGTACAAATGATGATACTCATAACATGCAAAACACTCATTGATATAAATGTACATGCACACATCTTATCTCCTATGAACATCTTTAAAAAAAGTTGAACCGGTACATCTTAAGATTATTCGGCTATAGAGAGTGCATTCGTAGCTCTAGCTAGTATTCTCTCCGTCCAAAAAACTAAATCTAGTACTAAATATGATATATTTAAACTTATTGCACTAAGATAAATTGTATCCAGTGCTAGATTTATTTGTGCAAATGCATGCATCACGGGCCAGATGCACGCAAGTACACGACGAGCAGATCGAGAGAGAGTGTGTGTTTACACTGTTCTGGAATCAATGGCAACATGCCTGATTGAGTAGCTAGCCAAGCTAGCTAGCAGCTGTCGTTTGTTGCTGTTTGTCAGCTTTTTGTTTCTCGCGCGCTATTTCTGCTGTTTTGCTGGAGCACAGTGTTTAGCTTCCCTACAATGTCCTCAGCTGTGACGCTCACCCCGTCCTCCACCTGATGCAAATTAAATCGTATAATTAATATGCATATATATTAATTACGAATGCAAACTCGCGAGAACTTAATTTCATGACAGTACGTTTTGACGAATTTTCGTGAAGGGTTTTATAAGCGACCCGTATAAGAAATTAGTACTGGTATAAATTTTGGTGCAATGTATATTACAGCTTTCAAACTTAATTAGTGGACGCGCATTTATATATACCTGCTATACATATCCACTCAACGACCAGTTATATATAGTACTCAGATTTTGTGGAAGATACGACGAAAAGATGAATTTGGCATTCTAATTGATTTTAAGTATGACTTTTAATTTTAAAAATCTCCTCACAGCCGCTTTCATCAATTAATTAATATTGTTGAGGACCGCTGCTATCGACTAAAAAATAACGGTGCTGCCACGCAAGCGTATTAAATAAATGTAGATGCATTCTTAATTATTTTGGTTCCGGTGCATAAATCAATTAATCAATTATCACTTGTCTTTCAGCTTGCCATAATTTTCCGGAGTAATATTTTGTTTGACACCGTGTACATATGCAATAGTTAAGTGGACGACGACGGAATCAACAATAAACACGTACTCCATTAAAAAAAATACAACCATAAGTTTTCGTATCCAATTTTAATCATCCGTCTTATTTAAAATCTTTTTATAATTGATATTTTTATTAGATTATAAAACATGAATAGTATTTTATGCGTGACTCATATTTTTAGTTTTTTTAAAAAAAATTTAAATAAGATGGACGATTAAAATTGGACACGAAAACTTATGGTTGCGCTTATTTTGGGATGGGGGGAGTAATTTCTAGCGAAAATAAATGTGCACAAGAATTTAAATCTATGTAAATTTAATGGGGGAAGTTATGCATTTACTTGCTCCTTCCACTAAATAAGATGGGCGGACATTTTGAAATTTAAGTCTTCAAATATATAACTGACAATTAGCCTAATACTTCCTCCGTTCCATAATGTAAGTTATTCTAGTATTTCTTATATTCATAATGATGTTAATGAATCTAGATAGATATATATGTCTAGATTCATTAGCATCAATATAAATGTGAGAAATGCTAGAATGACTTATATTATAAAACGGAGGGAGTATAATATAAATTAAACTGTATTTGGTAAAAACAATATCATTAGATCAACATTTGCATTTAGTTTATTTCGTACAACTATTATTTTATTGCTATAAATATTATTATATATAGTATATGATATGAGAAATTAAAACTCAAATATTAGTTTTAGTGATTCCTGATGTGGCAAGTTCGGAAACATGAAGCCATTTTTCTTACTGTGATGATTACAGAAGCCATTATATATGTATAAGATCTAGTTCCGATTAGGTGATAAATATTACCCTATATAGCATATCATAGCCAAAATTTGTTTTCAGTGATATTAATTAGTTAACTATACTAGCTACTCCAAGTACTATAGTTTTATCCCAATCAATTTTATTTTCCACCTCTCTTAAAAAAATATTTTCCACCTAATTATAAGCCACTATGATTATGCATGTATAAAGCAATAAATTTACAATTGACAGGCCCAGCATTTTTTTAATTGAAAATCTTGCAACTAGAAAGTATATAAGAAGTGCATAAAGAATGACTGTAGTCATAAGATATGTTGTACTACATAACATGATTATCATCACGATATACCTTATGAATTTTAGTGTTCTTACTACTCCTGCAGTCAGCACAAGGCAAACCCAGACGTGAATATTAGGGAATGACCATTAATATCAATTGATTAGAAGAGGTGAGGCTTCGAACCCAGGTCGTCTAGCCCACCACCTTGTGGAGCTAGCCGAAAGACCCCTAGACGTTTCTCAGCACAAAGCAAACCCATATGCTAGCTGTAGCAAAAGTTTATGCTCCAGCACCAAGTGTAAACTATTTTTACTTACTTACAGCTTTGTCCGTGCTTGTTGAAGATGATCAATTCGAAATATTCTTAAATCGAAGCGCTTGTGTGGTCATAACCTTACTTGATCTTGTAAATTGTTTAAGGCCCCCTTTGAATTGGAGGAAAAATGGAGGAAAAACAAAGGAATTGAAATCCTACACTATTCATGCCTTTGATTCATAGGAATAAGAAAAAGAAAAAATGTAGGAAACTTTCCTATTCCTACAATTATAGAGCAAAACGTAGGAAAGTTAACATCCACTCTGACCTCTTGGAAAACTTTCCTTGAGTCTATCTCTCTCATCTCATTCCTGCATTTTTCCTGCGGTCTAATCAAACAGTCATTTCTATATTTTTCCTGTGTTTTGCAATCCCCTGTTTTACACTTACATTTCTATCAAAATCCTGTGTTTTTCCTATTCATCCGTTTTTTCAATCCTACGATTCAAATGGGCCCTAAGACTGGTGCCACAAATTTTAAAGCATATAAGCCATACTGGTCCATATTATTTGGACATGTTATATTTGACATTGAGAGATCTAGCTGTAAATTAATACATATGCATGATTCTCCCAACATCAAATATATTTGACCAGAGTGGAATATTAACTACAAGACATATCATGCATTTACAAAAAAAAACACAAAACAAGTTGGTTAAATTCTCTCGAATTAAAACGACGAATTAATTTGTCTTACCTTTGCCATGATGGTTATGATGGCGGTGCATGCCGAGAAGGGCATGACATTGGTGTGCGTGATGCCGAGGTGGAGCCCTTCAACCGCGGCGAGCAGCCGCACCAGCGACCCCTTGCCATTATTCTCGCCGTGGATCCTCACCATCACGTTGCCGTGCGAGATCTTCGCCTCGATCTCCGGCAGCGAGCTTCTCGCCGTGCCGCTGCTGCTGCTTCCAGCCACGGCCGATGACGCTGCGGGGCAGCCGCCGTCCGACGACGACGTGGCTATGCACGGCTTCTTGAGGAGTATTGCCGACTCGACGCCGCCGTTCTGGTGTTGCTCGAGCTCGCTGAGCTTCTCCTGCATCTCCTTCACGTACCTCACCGCGTCGGAGAGGATCGTCGCCTTGTCCATCTGTTCAAATCGATCTTCGTGTTCAGAGAAGATGGTGAGAGAAATGAGCGAGAAATGGAGATATATGTATTATACCTTCTTGAGGCCCGGGATGACGGTGGAGAGCTCGATGAACCGCTGGTTGATCTTCTCCCGGCGCTTGCGCTCCGCGATGATGTGCTCCTGCGCGTACGGCGCCGCCGACGAGGAGCCGGAGCCACCGCCGCCGTTGCCTTTGGAGGAGGCTCTCCGTGTCTGTGCAGATGGCGATGGCGACACGGCGGCCGGCAGGTATCGAACGCCGCCGCCGCCGTAGCGCGCTCTCGTCGTCGTCGGCGGGTTCGACGGCGTGGCCTGATCGTTGCACGGCTGCGTCATGGCCGACGAGAAGTTCCAGCTCACGGGCCAGAGGCCGCCGCCGCCGCCGCCGCCCCCGCCGCCAGCGGCGCACCTGACCGAATTTGGCGACGTCGACCATCCGTCGTGCTCCATGACCGCGCCGCCGCCGCCACCGGACACGCTGTCCGTGTCGCCCGAGCTCCAGCTGTTGGAGGCTCGGTGGCCTTCGTGCGCCGTTGGCTCCGGCGGGGCCATGCCGTTCTGCGACACCGACGACTCGCGGAGCGCTTGGAGCGACGGAAAAGTCGCGTTGTCGCCGGCGTACCCGCCGCCGGCAGGCGGCGGCGTCGCCGGCAGCGGGTGCAGGTGCTGCAGCGTCTCCATGGCCCACTCCATGAACAGGCTCGAGTCCTCCATGTCTCCAAAGAAAAAGAACTCTACTAGCTATCTACCTAGACAAAATAACAAACAAACAAACAAACATTTCACTCTTGAGTCTGATCAATGTCGATCTAGACATCGGAGAGTTATATATCTCCAAGAATCCAAGATTAATTGGACGATCGAGCGAGAGCTAAGCTACATGATTCAAACAGAAAATCGACTGGTCGAGATGTGAATGGTCGAACAAAAACTTTTGCAGCCAGTCTGAAGAGAAAACTATTTGGCTACTGGTCTACTGGCAAACAAGCACAGAGATCCATCATCCATGCATCCGGGAGACATATACAGCTATCAATCACAGACAAGAACAGTAGCTGACTTGATGCCACTACAGATTGCCCATTGAATTGGAGCTCGTGAAACACACAGAATCGTTTGTAGCCAAGACAGTGGGACAGTACCACTTACCTGCAGATCTATCAACAATCTCTCAGATCCTGCTTAACATGCAAATAATATTTGGGACAATGTATGGAAGAGAGAGTCACTCTGAAGAACACCATTCAAGACTAGTCGAGGATTTTTTGTGCTTGGCCTAGCTGGCTAACCACCTCTCTCCATATAAATCATGTCAGAGGCTTTTCTCTTCTTTGACATATATAGAGCACCTCCACTAGGACGACTGCTCCCTTTTGCTTAGTCAATTGCATATATTTTGGTTAAACAATCATGGGATTTTTCATGGTACTTTAGGAGTTGTCATAATCCAAAGATTTGCTATACTAATTTATGGTATCTCTTGATACCTCAACACTTGGAAGGTATCACTAACATTATAGACCTTAAAATGAGTGATTTTGTAGTTCTTAAGTAGATACCGAAAGGTACCAATTTTTTAGTGTAATTTATTTAACCTTTTCGTATTGGCATTTTGACAGCTTGTAAGGACCATAAAATTTCTCCCTAAACAAAACATTGATTTGCATGTGCTACCTCTGGTATTTATGTAGTACCATCAATTGTACTATACAGTACCATATATATAGATTAACAAAGTGAAATATCTCACGTGCAGTGTCTCCTAGCTACATTCATGAACAGCCAGTGTACCTATGGAGTTAATGATTTGAACCAAAAGAGGATACGAAATGTGTGTGAGCGCGGTTTTTTTTTTGGGGGGGGGGGAGGGGGGGCGGTGGACTTAATACTTCATCCATCCCAAAATATAAAAACCTAACACAACAGACTATAGTTAAATGATAGTAAAAGGCAGAAAGTCATATTGATCCTACACGCATATGTACCTTACATTTTGAAAGAGATTCAAAAAAAGTATGCATGTGTTTGTAGTATTTAGAAAGGAACTTTGGATGGCTATATAGCTCCAAAGTTTCTGTAAATAATTTTCTCATTTGAAAATGAGCCATTTTGTTTTGTACTCTTGGCTGAATCACCTCGTCTTATACATATCGGCTCGCCTTTGTCATGAATCAAACCGACTGCGCCAAAATCGTTGCTAGATATAGAATCTAAACAAAAGGAAGAACAGTTTATAAACGTGCACTTTGGACTTACTTTTAGGAAACAAAAAATAAACGTGCAGTAACTACACTCGTGAAGCAGATGCCTTTTGTGTGTTAGCTTTAAATTTAATTTTGACGTGCTATGTCTCCTCCAAAATTGCCGCTAATATTATGCATACGACTCTCGATCACCTTTCCCTTTCCCCACAAAGGACAACCAAAAGCGACGGAATTAATATACAAATCATTTCTGGCGATCGCGATTATCTGGCCGAATCCTACCAAAATGATACTCGTAACCCACTGTCAGATTATCATATGCAAAGATATCCACATCTCATGATGCAACTAGTAGCTAGCCAATCTATTAATTGTTGATTAATCGCGTGCTAACCTAACGTGTGCATATATACAACGCTCTAAGGAAGTATTAATTATTTTCAATACGGGGTCCTGAAGAAATTGCTCAGCTTTCAGTAACTTCAATTTTTTTTTTATTTCAAACCAACTAGAGCGAATGTTTATTTTTTAAAAGTAAATTATTAATGTGAGAAACCAAGTTAGCTCGCCGCCACCAATATCCAAGCTAGCTAGAGTCATCTCATGCTCGAATTTTAGGTGCATTACTGGATAATGGAAATCTATTCAGACTCTACAACTATAGGATAGTTCTTTTAATTAAATTGTATATATCAGGATTGATTGAAGCTACTATTACATGAGTCCTTTGAACGGCACAAGTTTAGTTATCATCTATAGCTATATGTTCGATTGTGGCGGTTGGGAATCTTTCCGCACGGTACACAAAATGGAATAACATATTAGCGTATCATTAATTAAGTATTTACTAAAAAATAAAAAATGGATTATTAATATATCTTTTAAAAGCAACTTTTCTATAGAAAATTTTTGTAAAAATAAAAAACATCGTTTAACAGTTTGAGAAACATACGCGTGAAAAATGAGTGAGTAGAAGTTGGGAAAGTGTACAGGAAGAACACAGCCTATATATGTCCCAAGATATAATTCATTTCATTATTAAAGAAATATCATAGCTCTCTCTATATATATAGCTTTGTGAATTTTGTTTACACGTACGGATTTTACAAAATATCTTAGCTATACTGATCAAAGAAGACCCGAATTTTTACCCAAGTGGCCGGAGTTTAATTAAAAGAATACTATTGAGAATAGCCATGTACCTGATCCTGTGATACCGTGTACGTTGGACCAAACTACTGTAGTCTGTACGTACAGTACGTTACTAAATTTAGTTGGCGGCATCTTTCCTGGAAGAACACCAAGACAAGACTATTTTGGTACAACCAGCTTGTGACGGCACAGTGCCGGTGATAGTCTTTCATGTGCTGGCGTACGTGCAAAAATAGTGCACAAGTCATGTCAATGCAGGTGATAAAACTTTCGATTTCTTGTCAGGCCATGTACAAAGCGTGGCTCTGGCTTGTGGTCTTAACCCTCCATGTCGGACACGCGCATCCATGGCAGTGGGGACCGTGGCTCCGCAGACCGATTTCGCGCTTGCAGAGGAACCGCTCGAAGCGTCGCGCTTGGGCTCGAGAAGGGCGAAGCCACAGCCCGAGGCCACGCGTTGGCGGAGCCGGAGCCCCGTGCGTTGCCTCGTCCGGTCGCATCGCCGCCACCGTTGCTCCTCGCCGCCGACGCTCGTGAAGAAGGGAGGGGGAGAGGAACCGCCGCCGTTGTGGCCCTCGCCGCCAGATCCGGCGAGCCTGCACCTGGATCCGGCGAGCCCGCCATCGATGAGCTCTTCCGCGTCGTCGTGGGGAGAGGAGGACGGCGGCGTCGAGCCCGCATCCGGATCCGCTGCCAACGCTCGAGAAGAAGGAAGGGGAAGAGGAACCGCCGCCGTTGTGGCCCCCGCCGCCAGATCCAGCGAGCTCGCGCCCGAATTCGGCGAGCCAGACGCCACCAAGCTCGCCACGCCGTCGGCGAGCTCGTCCGCACCGTCGTGGGGGAGGAGGACGGCGGCGTCGAGCCCGCCTCCGGATCCGCCACCGAGAACTTGTCCGCGCCGCTGAGATGGGGAGCTCACCAGCGAATATGGCGAATGAGAGAGGGAGAGAGAGAGATGGCTCGGGAGAGAGGGAGAGAGGGGGGAGAGAGGGAGAGAGAATAAAAAAGATAGGGGGGAAGAGGCTGACAGTGGGTCCGTATAGTGTTTAGGGGTGCATATGTACTTATTTTGGTTGTTATAGGGTCCAAAATATAAAGTTTTAATAGGTTTGATAATAACATACAATATAAGGACTGACATATAAATAGATAGGGGCTGAAAAGCAAAATACGTTTTGCAGTGGTTTCACTGCGGCTAGTGTGACCTTTGTGTTGTTCTATCATATGTGGCGTCTTGAGACCACTAGTGCTTGTGGCATCCATTGTACATGCCAAATTCATACGGGTGGCATATCTCAAATTTTGCAAAATTAGGGTGGCATGGTTCCAACAAACCCAGATTTCAGCAGTAGAGAAAAATGTTCCCCTTGAAGCCACTCCGTACAAGCTAGCCTGGCTAGTACCTTGAAGTTCGATGAGGTGATCAGCTGTTTTGCATGGAGGTCCTCCTCGAGGGCAAAGACGAGGTCCTCCTGGAGGCGGATAAGATGGTTCTCAAAGGCAAGTAAGCTTGAGGAATGACCAAGTATTTGGAGACAAGAAGTGGAGCGAAGACATGGTTCTTGTTGCATACAGGGCTCCCCCAGCTTCATTGTCTTGGATGACCCTTGCCTCATTTGGATCCATCCGCCGACGCCATTAATGACCTCGCCTCGCCTGGATCTGCCTACTACCATCATCACCTTCATTGAGCACCTTTGCCGCCGACCTCCACTCCGCAGCCCACAACAGATAGATCCGGTGTTTCCAAGGTTGTTGCCGATGAATCCGCCTCAGCAAAGCTTGTCGATCGGTGTCACAGTGGTTGCAAAGGAAGAAGGGAAGGAGTTCCCAACCAAGCCGCTGGTAGATCCACTTCTTCCAAGTGCCGTGATGGCGCATCCGCATCCTCCAACACCACCGCATCTCCACTTTGCCATTGCCACCGCCTCCTGTGAGCATGGTAAGGGAGAGAGAGGAAGGGTCCATCCCTCCCCACAGATGTTGCCGCCACCTATCTTTCGCCGCCTGCAAACCTGGTTAATAGAGGGAGAGGGGGGGTTTGAGGGGAGAGAGAACGTGATTGAAGAGGGGTCTGAGGGGAGAGGAGAGAGGAAGCGAGGGTTTGGGAAATATGATTTTCACAAGCGGATCTTTGAGAAGTTTGCCTGTAAAAATGGTCTGAGTTTTATGTTCGGCCTCATAAGGGAGGCACCTATAAAAAATAATTTTCACAGGTGACCTATGACTAGAATCCCTAGTTGCACTTTCACATATTAGTCTTTTTTTTAATCCATGTGTAAAAATAAATAAGAAAATATGCTCTCTCTCTCTCTCTCTCTCCATAGACCAATTGCTTACATAGTCCATTGGAGTGGACTGAGCTAAGTTGATCTAGAAAGAACTAGAAGAGTGGAGCAGGGTTCGCCTTCACTCCTACAGTTAGATTTAGGAGTTTGAGCCTTGCAAAACAACCACTTAGTTCTTGCAAGACAATTCAATTCGCTACATGTTATAATGAAGCACTAATTTTAAATTGTTTGTATGCATTACTAATATTGATATAAGTGTTTCATATGTTGCAACTAGTGTCATACGTACGCACATGCATAACTCTAGAACTTATAGTGTAATAAAGGTCTTGTCATCCCAGCCTTCCTGCTCATATGGAGAGGGAGGCCTAGAAAGCTAGGGTACGCTCGTGTCCTTGGTTAACAATGGTGGTCATTGCACACTATTCTAGTGGATCAATTCCAGCGTGGGTTTCTGAGACACATTATTTAAGTGATGCCGAGCATAACTAGCTTGCTTTCAAAATGTATAGATTTATCTAACTTTTCCAATAATATAAATGATTCGTTAGGATATAAAATGTTGTTGTCCTAATATGCTTCTCTTAAATCCTAGATCGTGAAAGACATGCAGATCACGATAAAGCTACACCATATTAAAGAATGGATCTCTGAAATAACATGTAGTCGATTAGTGTTGTGTGTATCAGTTCTTACAAGAAATACATTGGCTACAAGTTGTCGGGAAGTATTTTGTATTTCTATGCCTTACTTTACCATAGCTAATGTTAGATAGGATGTATGTTTTAACATACAAGCGATGGGTTTTTTATATAATAAATGCCTCGTCCTTTGTGCGCAGAGGGTGAGAGAAGCCAAGAAAGCTGAGGTTCTCATGTTTTTGGTAGCTATGGCGGACATCACCACATACTATAGTGGTGGGCTAGTTCAAGCTGGTTTCTGAGACACATTAGTGATGAGATAAAAAGGATGAATTGCTTTGAAAGATTATAGATTTTGCTGAAATTTTTAGTACTTAAATGATTTATTAGGATACAAAATGCCAACATGCATCTCCGAAATCCTAGTTTTGGAAAACGTAGAACAAGATGATATAACTGATCTCGATCCTCTGAGGTGAGAATTTCAGAAGGTTAAGAGGGATCAATGTAATGTAATTAATTAGTAGGGTTTACAAGCTCTCCAGCATGGATAGATGAGCAGCTTGCCAATTAATATCCTCTCGTTCATATATACAGTGAAGAATGTATTGTAACTCTATGTACGTAATTTCAGCTAATTAATCCATCTGCCTTTAATCTCCTCCCAAAAAAATGAGAGCTAGAGAGAGAGAGAGAGAAGAAAATAACACTAGTCCATGTCGTTCAGAAAAGCTAGCTAGGACCCAACGACCGTCGTGGTGGAGTTACAGAGAAACGTGCTACTACAGGGGTCGGGTCCTTGGCCATGTTTGTGCATGGTGCATCAGTACTAAACCTACAAAACTAGTACGTAGTATGATTGATGGATGCTGCTCCCGCAGGCAATGCATGGCCCTCCACATTTACCACCTTTTGGGAGATGCATCAGATTCCATGCTAAAACCACACGTGCCATGTCTCCCTTATTAGTAGTAATATATATACCTCCATTTCATTTTAAGTAGGTAGTTGTGAATTTTTGTGTTCAGCGTTTGACCATTCATCTTATTTAAGAAATTTATTATAAAATTTAAAAAATAGTCACATATAAACTACTATTTATATTTATCACATAATACTACATCTATCCCAAAATATAACAACTTTTGGCTATGAATCTAGACACACAGTTGTCTAGATTCATAGCTAAAAGTGCTTATATTTTAGGACGGAGGGAGTAACAATTAAAATACTAATCATAAAAAAATTTTAAATAATACGGACAGCCAAACGTTGAATATAAATAGTGCAAAACTACAGTCTTTTAAGAGGGAGGTAGTACTTCCTAAGAGCGGGTGTAGTATAGTAACACAAGCAGGTTGTATACATTGGCATATCATATTTGTGCATATGTGAAGGAGAGAGAAGAAAAACAGACTATATATTTGTAGCTAGATGTAACACGAGCTCTAATAATCTATATGAGAGAAATTGGTGAATTAAATATTAATGACGCAGTATATATCTACAACTAATGAGTTGGCAATTAGGGCCCTGTTTGGTGCAGCTCCAACTCCCAGATTCATCTCAGATCCAACTAGAGTCCAACCAAACAGTCCAGCTCCACAAAAAAAATGGAGCGGAGTAGGCGGATCGCTCTGAAAAAATGTACTAGCGGCGCGGAGCGGCATTCCCCCCGCTCCCTAACTCTAACTCCAACCAAATTTTAGAAGTACCACTGAAGTTTAAGAAAAATTACCCGCAAATGCCATCGAACTACTCCCTCCACCCCTCCCCCTCCCCTTGCCTGTATCGCATCCCCTCAGTCCGCCGCACCAGCGAGTCTCGCTTGCGAAAAAAAAGGAGGCGGCGGCGCAGCGCATCTGCCTGAGGCACACCAGCGACGGCGACGAACCGGTGGCAGCGGTGAGCAGGTGCGCTCTCAAATCCCCTCTCCTTTCCCCTCTTTTCTTTCCTCCCCCATTGTCTCTTCCCCCTCTCTTGACCTCCGGCGGACCTTGTTGCAGACGAGGGCGACAACGCACGGTGGCGGCGCACGACGGCGGAGGCTCACAGCGGCAGCGCACGGCGGCGGAAGCTCGAGGAAGCCGGTCCCTATCCCCCAGCACCACAAGGTATCAAATCTGTAAAACCCTAGAAATCCCCCCAAATCTTTCCTTCGGATGACAGCATGATTTTTGTGGAGTGGATTTAATTTTTTGGGTGGATGATTGCTTGATATTTGCTCAATCTTGTGTCACATGGAGTTGTAGATCTAACGGGTAGTGGTCCATGAGGAGGCCCTGAGTTTTCTTGCTATGGTCTGTAAAAATCTGCAAAGATGCGTGCTGTAAAAATATGCAGAGTACTATGTGTAACTTGATTTCAGATTGATGTTATGTTCTCTATTTCTCTTGCAGTGTGAGAGGATAACGTATAACTTGATTTTAGATTGATGTATATGCTTGAGAGGATAATGTATAACTTGATTTCAGATTGATACATAGGTGTATAAATGTATTATAACCCTGCATGAACACACAATGTGAAATTATAGTAGTGCATTCTGAACCTTTATCTAAACTTTGAAACTATGGTGTGAGTGGATGGCAGGCATGGCTGAAAATGTGCCATCGAAGAGTGTTAAAATGCCAATTGACTATGCTGATTGGAATGACTACAACACTAGAGTTGTGTGTGAGATTTTTGCTGATCAAGTAGTTGCGGGTAATCGTCCAAATACCCATTTATCCAATTCTGGGTATGACGAAGTCATTGAGCAATTTGCCTCAAAGACAGGGCTGAGGTACACTAGGCTTCAAATTAAGAACAAATGGGATAAACTTAGGATTGAGTACAATTGTTGGAAGAAGTTGAAATCTCAAACAGGTTTGGGATGGGATGACGCAAGGCAAACCGTCACAGCTACAGCAGCACGTTGGAAACAACTTAAAGAAGTAAGTTTTTGTCGTACGGTGTTAAATTATGCAAATGCGAACCAAAATTGTGTATTAACTTATTTTTATAATGTCATGTCATGTAGGATATAGCAGGCTGCCTCAAATTTAGAAAGGCCGGCTTGCAAAATGAGGAGTTACTTGAGAAGATGTTTGAAGACATTCGCAATACCGGTGCCGACCATTGGTCTTTAGGGCAAGGCACCATACCATCAGCCACCACTAATGGCACTATTCAAATTGCCGATGTCAATGAGATTGACGATGAGACGGATGAAGATGAACCAAGCGCAAAGAGAAAGAGAGGAGATAGCTCGAAGGTGGATAAGCTGAAAAAAACAAAGAGTGGATCCCAAAAGATGGTGGAGGAGATGTCAAAGAGTAACGAGCTCTCTGCACAAACTTTATCATCCATTCAATCATTCACTAAAATAAGAGAGGATCCACCGGGTTGTTCTATAAAGGATGTTATGACCTTGGTGGAGGAGTGTGGTGCTGTTGAAGGGACAAATGAACACTTCATTGCAACTGAAATTTTCATCAAGAAGGATCAAAGAGAGATGTTTGTTAATTCATTGCGCACTCCTGCAGGACGCTTTGCATGGCTTAAGAAGAAGTATGATGTGAAGTATGGAAATTAGATGAATGCAATGTGGCCATGAAATGTATCACTTTAATTTAGTTGTCATTTAATTTCAGAACTATCTACTGAAGAGACATGTTTGTATGGGTTATTTGATTTTCAGTTCTGAACTATTATTGGATTGTATCACCTTGTTGTATGGGTTCTGAACTACTATTTTCAGACCTATGTCATGTAATCTTGTTGGATTATTTTCATATATATGTCATGCACTATTATTGAATTATTTTCAGATATATATCTCTTGGATTATTTTCATATGTATGGCATGCAGTACTGTTCGATTAATTGTAGATATGCAGTACTATTCTAATTGATTTTGTATGTCTCCCTTTGTAGATGTCAAGTGAGAGTGAAGATGGTTCATCAGATGAAGAATATGATTGTGATTTGCTTGCCATGCAATTGTTTGAAACTGTGACAAGCAATATTTCTTCAACTCGAAGAATGGCAGAGAGTTATCACTCTCTCTACATGAATAAGGCTGCGCCTAGGACATCAAGACTTAGTGGAATGGGATGGGTGCAAGAAACTTTGGCCACACCAGGTGAATGCTATAGGATGCTTCGCATGAATGGCAACACCTTTCTTGCATTACATGATCTTTTGGTTGATAAATATAAGTTGGCACCTACTGTGCACATGCATACAATGGAGGCACTTGCAATTTTTTTGTACATTCTAGGTGATGGTTCATCAAACCAAAGGGCACAAAACTGTTTCAAGCATTCTGGTGAGACAATATCAAGAAAAATTGAAGAAGTATTGTTTGCTGTTGTGGAGTTGGGACGTGATATTGTTCGTCCAAAGGATCCAAACTTTTCTAATGTCCATGAGAGAATTAGGAAGGATCGTCGTATGTGGCCACACTTCAAAGATTGTATTGGGGCGGTTGATGGTACTCATATCCTTGCAGTTGTTCCAGATGATGATAAGATTAGATATATTGGTAGATCAAAATCAACCACTCAGAATGTGATGGCTATTTGTGACCATGATATGAGATTTACCTATGCATCTATTGGACAACCTGGCTCGATGCATGACACAACCGTGCTATTTAATGCATTGAGAACCGATATAGATATCTTTCCCCATCCTCCCCAAGGTAACTACCACTTGTTATATATTTCTTTTATATCTTTGCACATTCTAAATTGATATGTTTCTGTTTATTCGTATACTAGGAAAATATTATCTTGTCGATGCCGGCTATCCAAATCGTCCTGGGTACTTGGCACCATATAAGGGACAAAGGTACCATGTCCCGGAATTTCGAAGAGGTTCAGCACCAAGTGGAGTGAAGGAAAAATTCAATTTCTTACACTGTAGCGTGCGCACTATAATTGAGAGATGCTTTGGTGTATGGAAGATGAAGTGGCGAGTTCTCCTCAAAATGCCTAGCTTCCCATTGTGGAAACAAAAAATGGTTGTGGCGGCAACAATGGCATTGCATAATTTTATTCGTGACCATAATGCTCCGGATAGGCATTTTCATAGGTTTGAAAGGAATCCGGATTATGTGCCTACCATTCCATCTAGATTTAGGAGATATGTCATTTCTCAAGATGCATCGGATACATCTACCGAGGGTCAAAGTGATGTATCCATGGATGCATTTCGTGATGACCTAGCCGGCCGTATCGCAGGATGATGGCTTTTCTACTCTTTTGGTCTATTGCAGGATGATGGCTGTTCTACTCTTTTGGTCTATGTTTAGATGACAATGCTACCGGTTATTATTTCTAAACATTTGTATTATTACATATATGTCATGCACCAACTAGAACTTTATCAATTTTATTTTAATTAAATTTTAACCTTCCATATTAGTGTTCAAATATTAAGGAGAAATAACTGTTATTAATCCTACGTCAAATAAACAAGAAAACAATAAGGGTAGTATTGTCTATCTCCCCCTTATCATCTCTTTCAGAATTTCTGGAGCTGAGCAGGCTTGCCAAACGCTTTCAGGAGTATCTCTAGCTCCAACAGGAGCTAGCTCCCACTGGAGTTGGAGTTTGGAGCTAGGATTTAGGAGTTGGAGCCCTACCAAACAGGCCCTAGGTCAGCTATTGATGATGTTCCAATTTTGAAGCTAGTAGTTGATTATATTATTAAATTTGCTTTAATATATTGTTTACTGCACGGTCGATGTGTGTTGGAACTAACGAAATTTGTGGAAAGAACCATTTAAATATATACATATATATAATATACAGTAGGATCAGAATCTAACCCAAGATCCATACATAATAGCATCTCCAGGGCTCAAGTACTGCACGAGTGCACAGAATATACAGTGCTGCACTGCATATTCGTGGCAGTGATACTATCACAGTCGATTGCCCTGCTGCTGGATTAAAAACCAATATTGCGATGTCGGTTATATATGAAATGGCAATGATGGCCCTTTGTATGTTAGTGATGTATAACTACGTATATATATGTACCTCTGAATTAATTTTCACTGCAGAGACGGAAATTAATTAAATCTCTGCTTCATAGGAGTATCTCCATAAGCTACTGTCAGCTATTTTTTTGGATAATTAATGGAATTTAATCCAGCAACATACTCAATGATGTATATATCCGGCCAAATTATCAGCTCATGTATATAGCGAAGTCTCTTGAAGCTGCAGTAGTGTACTTTATGTTAGGTAGTACTGGGCACTGAAGATGCTCTCATGATGTTTGCTGTAGCACATATATAGGCTGTTGGATCTGAGAGGTGAGAAGGCTGGGTACTAGCAGAGTACCAGTGAAATAATAAATATATAATTATTAAGACTTGTTAAGATGTTTGTACAATATAATGAACATTCACTTGTTCAATCTGTAGCTAGTAATATGTCAATATGTTCACGTACTGATACGACCGAAATAACTGAAAGTGAAAACACGTTAACAATTGCGCATTAAATGGACATTTCCCTGCAGAATAATAAGTAACCTAATCAAAATTAGAAAATTCAAGCTAGAAGTTGGAAAACAAACAATTAGGGCTCCTTTGTTTGGTCATTGGAATGACGGATTTTCAAAACATGCGAATATGGAAAACGTAGGAGTCACGAGTGCCTTGTCATCTCCAATCCTATAGATAAAAACTTTAAAAAAAAACTACAGAAAGATGGAGCACATGAAAAACACAAAAATCAGAAGAGATATATATAGATACAAAGGAATTTTACCTAGTATGGTAGAACCTCATGTTGAGAGTCCTCAAAATTCCTATGATTTGAGACAATACTAATAAGGAATTTGGGGAAACCATTCCTTTGTTCCAAATGATCATATAAGAATTATTTCCTTAGGAACCAAACCCTCCAAAATTTGATTATACATGGAGAAACTGTGGATGCCTGACAGAACTTAATTAATTGTACATCTTAAAGGAACACAATACTTATCAATTCCGAATCCTATTTTGGCTATAACCTTCTCAATTACAATGTTCTCATATACGGGAATACCCCGTTAGCAGGCTTTTGTAGCAAATTCTATTTGTTCTTCGCCGCTTTGGGTTGTGGGGCTTACTTCCTAGCCCCAGTGGGAGTAGTGACTAGCATTATAGGTTGTTGAGCGGCCAGAAGGTTGCCATGAGTAAGGTTGGAAGACCGAAGGCAATTTTCCTTGCACCGGACACGTAGCTTACCAAATCAGTTGCAACACGGATGGGAATGCATGCTACGAAAGACAGGGTCGAGTCTGATACATCAACCGTCGACTCCATATCCTTGTACGAGTCCACAATCACTACACGAGATGAACCTGGGTTTGGTGAATGGAAGTTGGCCTTAGGTGTAATAGGACTCCTAGTTACTGTGCACGATAGTATACTGAGGCGCTACTGGAACAACGCGAGCCTGGTTGGGCCTTGATTCCTTTCATAAAGATGAAGGGACAAAGGTGACTAATTCCCCATCTCATTTGGGGCGGAAAACGGATTGACACCTCGATGTGATACAACCCTTTCCATTTTCATTGGGAAAGAACAGCGAAGTCCATCCGAACACTCCAATGAAGAAACAAGAAGAGAGCAAAGGGCCAATGGCGCGTGAAGTGCATGCAGAAGGGGCACGGAGAAATAAAGAAGCGTGGAGGAGAAGCAGCCGAGCTCATTCCCTTCGCTTCCTAGGGCCAAAGCAGTGCTTTATTTCCTGGCCAAATCAAGGATTTAGGAATAATTGCAAAAGATATCTGAATAGAAAGATAGATCCATCCATCTATCTATATATCTAAGAAAGAATCGATTTCGATTTCATAAAACCTTTGATTCATATATGGATAGAAAAATATCAACATTAAAAGCCTATACATGTACACTATTACTTACTAGAGTACATGACATAAAGACGAGTGCTCACAAGCCTAAAATCTTTACATTTTGGCCCTTTTGAATACTTATTTCATAAATAGACCCTGAAAATTTTATTTTAGGAACGAACCCTTTTTTGGCGCCGAGGTCCAATGGCTCGATGCCGACCCTCTACCCCCTCCCCCCGTTGGCCCTTTTCGTGGCACCCATGCCTAGTTGGTTGATGCGGTGGCTAGGGCTCAATGCCAATGAAGCTTACGTCGAGGTGTTGCAGCTCGACGCCAAGGAGGCTGGCACCGACCCCCCCCCCCCAACCGGCATCTCAGCCAAGGCCCTGGTGCCTAGGGGTAGGCATAATAAACCGAAACCAAATTGACCAAAACCAAAATATTTGGTTAGCTCCCCTCCCCTCCCCTCCTGTCCTCTCCCACTTGGCATCCACTTCCCACCACACATAAAACGTCGCCACCATCCTGCCAACCTACGCCCCTATGAGGCTGCAAGCAGCAGTCGCCCAGTGGCTCGCCTCCTCCTCCGCCTCCTTGATTTCCATTCCTCCTCCTTTGATCCGCCGCTCCGACCTTCCCTCCGGGCGACCCTGTCTGCTCGTCACAACCGATGTCGAGGATGGAGGGACCAGCAGTGATGGCTCGAGCGATGGAGTCAGGAGAGGCTGGTGGTGGATCCCAGCTGCTATCCTTAGGTGGCAACATCATGTCTCTCCCATGCATGTCTAATTGCTCTTAGATCTGTTCTCTCTTTCCATTGTAAAAACTATGGTGATTCGGTGATTTGTTTTTGGATTTGGTGCTTGTATGTTGTCTCTCATATCTATTCTAGATCTCTAAATCCAATGTAAACTATCGTGTTTTATGATTTGCCTTTTGACGTGGTCTCTGATAGTTTGTTTAGTTCGGTTCTAACTGACTCAAAAACACTCAGCCTTGACATTTTCTAGGAACCAATCATTTATCCTTTCTAGATAAATAAACTTTTGAAAAAAAAAACAAACTATTGGTTTGGTCTGACCGAATTCTCACCCCTACTGGCGACCTCCCCTCCTGCCTCAAGCGGCCTCTGGTGCCAAGGTGTGGAAGTAGGCACATGGTGAGGCTGGTGCCAAGCCTGGCAACACCTGGAATTTTTTTTTTGTTAGGAAGATATTATTCCTAGAACAACTTGACAGTAAAATTTGGCATGAACCACATGCATTTATACATATTTGTGTAAGCACAACAGATATAACAATATAGCACATCTCATAAAAAATTACCATATCCCAATTATACACATGGGATATTGTTGACCATAGCAATTCATAACATATCCATTACCATAACATATAGTCGATACAAATAGAAACATAGTCTTTCACATTGCATGATATTACAACACGTAGTCCATCACAAGCAATTAGTAATCAACGTACATTGCAACACAATTTGTAAAAACATGTCTTCACTTTTTATGTTGATGTCGAATAACATCCATCCAAAGAGTGTACCTACATATTGTAAGGACTTACTTTTGAGAATGTGAAGGGAAGTCTAATAATTTGCAATGTATTAAGTTTTATCGATTGGTTACAACAAGTGTTGTATTGTTGAGTAGGTTGAGATGGCTGAGGTGCATTGTCAAGTTGAGATGGCCCAATCTCGTCAGCACAATATACGATGTAATCCTTGCCGTTGTCCTTCTCCTCTTCATCATCGTCATCACTTGGAGCCGTGGCCTTTCCGGGTATGAGATGAAGAAGCATCGCCTTCTTGGTGTCTTGAGCTCGATAGGGATGTTCTAGCTACACTTGGACATATCAATTAAGGGATTTTCATAGAGGTGGCAAGGGATAAAAACATATACTCCACCTAAATGACATCCAAGGCGAGCCGCCATTTTGCAACATCTTCTACATGCCATTCCACAATAATGAATTAATGCAAAGTGATGTTAGAGCATGTTTGGCAAAGTTTGAATTGTAAAATAGTTTGACAATTTACCTCTAGCATATTACGGAGTGCTCTCTGTTTGCTCTCCTCCTCTCTTAAGTCCAAGCGCATGCCCTACGTCGTTGACTATTCTAATAAGCTCTCTAGACTACAAGCACAAAAGTATTGGAAGCTTAGCATATATCACTTCTAGATGTAACATTACAAGAGAAATTTTGTAGTCCTTGAGAGACACAAAGAGGTAAAAAATAATTAGTGTAAATTTCCATACCTCTTAGTATTGGAGGTACCAAGAGGTACCAAATTTTACATTAGAAAATATGTTATCTCCCACTATCTCCTCAAGGAGTGTAAAATTACTCATATTACAATGGTTAGGATCCTTACAACTCGATCTCTAACAGGCACAAGCTCAATTTGGCTTCCAATCCTAGACCTCCTATCGTAGGTGTTGTCCTCCTTCCCCGATGATCTTTCTTGTGCTATATCCGCTTTAATCCATGATGCTTTAAGAATCAACCTATAAGTCCGATTGAGTCAATGAAGATATGATTGCCTATCCTTGTGGATCGGGGGTACGTAGGAATCATTTTGCTGCGTGCTCCTCCATTAATTGATGTAGGCACACCAACTCACTCTTGAACTTTCCTCTAGTTGTTCTACGTCCATGGACATAGCGATATTAGGTTGTAATGTTCACATCCATATAACGAAAATGGGGAGATGCATTCAAGCATGGATAAGCTCATTTCTGCAAATTAATGAAGA